TGTTAAAGAATGAGGCAGACTAGGGTCAAAATCTTTACTGAAGTTGCTGGAAAGAGTGCTCCGTTGCTAGGTTACCAACAAGAATTTACCATTTCCGTGGCCAAAAGAGCTGATTTACCTGGTTTGTACATTAAAATTTGTGGTGGCCAGCTTGTGTGCTGTAGTCCTTCCCACTTGGATGACAGGAAGCGGAAGTCGCTGCCAACCTTGTGTCCCTAGGCTGAAACCTGGCAGAGGTGCCCATGGTACCTGTCGTGAGATGGGGCTGTTTCTGGTTTCGGTCACATTGCCCGAAAGATAAGGTATTTCAGGAATTCTGCTGAACACCTCTGAAATAGAATCCAGAACAATGGGCCTTTCAGGGCACCCGAAATGTTTGACATTCAGAGTGTTATGTTAACTTGTCTCCTAGGGTGGAGACACTTGGTTCCTATGGAAACTTTGGACCTGGGTGAAGGGCCCGGGTTCTAAACTATCAATAGCAAGTCTGCTAATATCACATGCTGCCATCATGTTTATTTAGAAATGAAGTTAGTTTTAAAATATTTAAATATTTAGTTTTTAGTTTTCACTTTTAGTTGTTTTCATTCATTTTCAGAGCAGCCTTTCTTTGGCCTTTGCATCTCGGGGGCTGCCGGCCCTCACCTGTGGTCTGTGGTGTGGGCTGGGACAGGGAATTGTTCTGAGGCCTGTTTTAGTCAGTGCTTCCTCATGCCTTCCGATCTGGATGTTTATAAAAATGAAGAGATAATGTGTATAAAAGTGCTTTGGAAATGAAGTTTTATAGAACCGTAAGCCATTTTGATCATTAATTAGGGGTCTTTTTGGAGATAGGAATAATTATCGTTTAAGAGTGAAATTAATAGTATTACAAAGGGAAAAACATAATGCAGCTGATGAAAGCAAACTAATTTATCTATATTTGTTTCAGCTTTCATTTCTGTGGCTTACGTATATAAGGTTTTAAAGGATTGAAAGGTCTAAATCTCTTTTTTAATAGGTATTTATTGTTCTTGATATTCCTGAGGAGTAAGGACTGAGAAATAAATATACTTTTAGCAGATGTAGAAATTAATCTCTTAAGCAGTGTACAAAATGAGATTTCTAGTGGTCTTGCCCCCTTGTTATAACTGATAGCTTTATGGGTAGCCCAAAAGAGGGCTGGGAATGAACCCCAGCTCTGTGGTTTAGCTTTTGATCTTGGATAGCATTTTTAGGCTGTAAACTGGAGGTTATGTTCTCACCTCATTGACTCGTGTGAGGATCAAATGAAATATTACATGAGTGGAAACAACTCTGCCTAGCACAGGATCAGTGAATGGTAGGCAATATTCTTATTGTTAGAATTGGTGATGATTGTCATTACCAAAAAATATTCCACGGAACACTGTGATGTACAAGGTACTGTGTTAGGGGATATGGGGGATTCAGAGAAAGCCATAATGTGGCTGCTGAGATTAAGTTGCTTGCACACAACTTATTCATAGATAGAGAAGTCTTAGGTAAAAAGATGACTGAGAAAGCAGTGTAATATATGGGCAATGAATGATAGGGAACACAAAATAGTTCACGGTTTTGTGGGATGCTCAGGAGTTTTTCCAAAGGAAGCAGGTCCTTGAAAATAGGTACAGTATAGATGGACAGAAAGAATGAATGGCTATTCCACATGGGAGTGGTCTCTCCCCTTCTCCTCCTTCCTTATGTGCTATGGCATTGAAATTCAGAGTGGGAAAGGACGGTGGCATTTGGCCTGGCTCTTTACCAGGTGTGTCACCGTGGGCATGTGACCACTCTAAATCCGATTCTTCATCTCTGTAGTGGATGTAAGAGTAGAACAGAGGGTCCTTGCTCTCGAAATCTCAGTTACAAGATCACATGGGGGAAGAATCATGACAGCACATTTAATTGGTGTTGATTACTTATCTAATAAGCCTGTACTCCAATAACCCTCCATGTTTAAACCTAGTATTTCTTTCCACCAGTTGCAATAACTCTTATGACTGTCTAATATTGTAAACATTTGACGATACGATTCAAATAAAATTCAAATCTCTTGTGAAATTTCAAGCCTTGTGAAAATGCAGGATTTCCTGAAGTCCGCGAATATGATTTTAAAGACTTGCTAAAAATACTTTTGAACCCATTGACAAAGGTGTGTGTGTGTGTGTGTGTGTGTGTGTGAGGAATCTTTACAGAGTGCTTGCTACATCTCAGGTGCTGTTCAGAGCACTACACGCATATTCATTGACTCTTCACTACAGTCTTATGATGTAGGTGCTGTCACAATTCCCAGGACGGGCAAGGAAACAGAAGCACAAAGGACCCAAACTAAGCAGTCTGGCCCTAGAGTGCACGCAGTTCATCATTACGCTAACACCGACTCTACTTAGATGAGTTGATAATTGACCAATGGCAGGAAATCAAAAAGGAGGAGAATGAGCACCTCAGTAGAGAGAGATTTCCAAAGGACAAAGAAAGCTTTCGTGAAAAATTGATAAAAGCTGTCAACTAAGCAGTGTAGATAGTGGTGAAGACCATGGGCTCTGGAGTCAGACTGCTTGAGTTCACTGCTCCTTAGCCCCATGACCTTGGATAGATTACTCAACATCTCTGTGCCTCAGTTTCCTTATATATGAAGTGGAGGTGATAGTATCACCTATAGCATCATGGTGTGGGTTATATGATTAAAATACCTATAACCTCATCTGACAAATAGAATATACTCAGTAAATGTTAATTATTACAAAAGCTAACATTTGAAAAAATGGCCCTCTTTAGGATTATGTTCCAAAAAGCAGACATGACAAATGTCATATCTTATGCTATTGTCCGATTTTGTTTGGATAATTTATTCTAAAGAGCCTCACATACTTGTTTTGTTTTTTCTCTTCTAAGAAATAGCACATGGTTGCTAGGACAATTATGACAAAAATGTCATTTCCTGTACAAAGGTGAAATAAACTTATTTTCATTTTATTTTTTAAGATAAAATCTGAATAAGTCCCCCTCCCACACAGACACACCCTACTTGTACTTGTATTACTATTTAAGTGGATTTGCTTTGCCACTTGATTTTTTCGGTACGTATTCTCCTCTGATCATGAAGACGTTATCTCTTGGGATTTTTGTGAGGATCGAATAAAATCATGCATGTGAAATGCAAGGCATATAGTGAACACTTGGTATTTGTTAGTGACTCTTCTATTAGTGTGTTATTATTTCCAAAAGATGGCAATGGCACGAGCAAAGTGCAGATATAAGAATATGCGTGTTCCATTCAGGATTTATTTATTTCTTCCATAGACGTTAAACACCTATTCTGAATCAGACTCAAAAGAGTAGGTGCAAGAATATGAAAGCAAATTGAACATGTTTCTCCCTGTTTATCTCCTCTCCCTCCAACTCTGTCATGCAGAGCTAACATTCTAGTAGAGGAGTCAGAGGTAAAAACAAATGATTATAGTACACTGTGCTTCCTAAATGCTATAATTGACACATGAACTTCATGTGAGTATAGAGCATGGAGTAATTTCTTTTGCTTAGGGGAATTTGGAAGGTTTCACTAAGAAGATGATATTTGAGCTTGATGGTAAGCTTGGCTTACCCAGAGAAAGCTCAACTCTAGAAGAATGAGGTGCAGTTTGAAATAGAGGTTGCTGTGCAAATGCCCAGGCTCACGATTGCCCAGGTTTAGGAATGTGGGCATTGTCCCTTAGTTATGGGAAACCGTGAAGCTTTTTTTTGTTTTAAATGTAGGTTTATTGAGGTCTAATGTACACAAAGTAAAATTTACCCTCTGAGAATATACAGTTCAGTGAGAGTTGACGGGTGTATACAAACCTGTAACCACCACCACCATTAAGATACGGAATTTCCATCACCCCCTGATGCCTCTGGCAACCACTGTTTTGGTTTCTAGCCCTCTAGTTCCGTTACCAGAATGTCCCCTGGAATCAGAGTATGTAACCTTTCATGTCTGGCTTCTTTCACTTTATTATAATGGTTTTGAGACTCATCCATGTTCTTGCATGTGCTGGTAGTTTGTTCATGGAGGGTTTACAAGATAAAAGAATGCCGTGACACTTTTAGGAAGAAGAGTGTGTTAGTGGTGATATATGAAATGGATTAGAGAGGGGAGGGTGGCAGCATCCAGCTGCGTTAGAGCCTCATGGAACCCAGGGAATATTTCTGCACAGTTCTAGGCAGAAGAATATTAGCTAAAGGGAGAGAGGAATGAAGGTGCTGGGCAGGGCGGGTGCAGGTGGGGTGTGATTGAGAGCACGTTGATTGGAGCGGCAGAGTTACAGGAGAGCTCAGGGACAGACGCTGGCACCAGCTCTGCTCCTGGAACTTCTCATGTGTATTCTCTGCATTGTCAGAAGGCTGGGGCTGGGGAAACCAGCAACGGGTTGGGGTTTCTCTAAAGGTTTTAATTTTTGCTATATTTCAAGCTTCAGTGAAGCAATTATACCTCCTATATTGTCTTCGTGAGTTAAAGTATCTATAAGCGTTTTGCAAATTTAATTTAAGATAATGTTTGATAGTAATGCGCTATGGTAATATATCATCTAATTGCAATGTTCTGTAATATATTCAGTAGAAAAAACTCTTCACTTAGGTCAGGAAGGAATTTCTTGGAAGAAAACAATATATATTTTTTTCATATCAGGTAAACTTTTATAGACTTCTGATCCTCCCTGTGATAGCTCGGTAAATGTTTCTTGCCCCTAGAAATCATTTACTTTCTTAGAAAGAGAAATACTCATAAAAGAGTTCTAAGTTGAATTGCGTATGTGGATTTTTTTGAAAAAATTTGTAACTTTAGGCACAAATGACCTGCTAAAGGTAATGATACGCATCCAGTAATTAAGATAAAATACAAGTTCATTCTCGTCGACTCTGCCGACTGCAGTGAAGATTGTGTTTTACATGCCGTAGAAAAATTGTGACTGAAAAAATTACAAGAACATGAAAATATCCCACCTTTGATTTTTCTTTAGTTTTGCTGCTGGAGAAGATAGAGCATGATGACGTCTGCAACAAAACCTTGAAGATTACGGATTTTGGGTTAGCGAGGGAATGGCACAGGACCACCAAAATGAGCGCAGCAGGCACCTACGCCTGGATGGCCCCCGAAGTGATCAAGTCTTCCTTGTTTTCTAAGGGAAGCGACATTTGGAGGTGAGCAGTGTGCCTTTGATTTTGGAAACTTGTGCAGAAAATGCTTGCTATGCTTTATTTGAGTGAATCCCAAAGAATTCAGTAGAAATTCTGAGCATAAACAGTGCAGGCCGTTTTGAAGAAAGTTTTATGGTTTTGATCAAGGTAGTCACGACAGCGGAGTAGGTAATTTGACGTATTGTCATATGACTCCATTTGGTAGGAGAATCTTCTTGTTAAATCTGAAGTCTGATTAAAACTGATTATAATTTGCGTTAATACTAATGCCAAGATTTTATAAGGTCTGCCAGTAAATAAAAGTAAATTTTCATTTTAAACAAACTTTTGATTCCCGGTGATTCACAAACAATATTAGCATGGAAGGAGTTTGAGAAAAACATTTAGAGCAATCATTTTATAAATTATATTATCTAAAGATTAAAGTTTGAAGATGGGGAGCTGTACCCAAATGGATCACTAGGTTATCTTGATTTTCCATTCAGCTATTTCTCATTAGGGGGATGAAGATGCTAACAATAGCAGAATAACAAAGAAAAATCACTCTATTTAATAGTTACAATGTACCTGGAGTTTACTTGCCTTTATTTAATGCTCGTAAAATCCTATGTGGCAGGTATTCAAATTCCATTTTTTTCTGTTGTTTTTATCAGCTTTATTGCGATATAATTCACATATCATACAATTCACCCATTTAAACTGTACAATTCAATAGCTTCTAGTATAATATATTAATAGATTTGTGTGTTTATCACCACCATTAATTTTAGAACATTTTCACTATCCCAGAAAGAAATCCTGTACTCCTTACCTATCTCCCCCATTCCCCTTTCCCTCCCAGCCCTAGGCAACTACTCATCTACATTCTGTATCTTTAGATTTGCTTACTCCAGGCATTTCATATAAATAGAATATTACAATGATTTGTTCCTTTGTGACTGACTTCTTTCACTGAGCATGCTTTTAGGTTCATCCATGTAACAACCTGTATCAATACTTCATTCCTTTTTATGGCTGAATAAAATTCCACTGTGGGGATGGACCACATTTTGTTTATGCATTCGTCTGCTGATGGACATTTGGGTTGTTTCCACTTTTTGGATATTGTGAATAATACCACTACAAACAATAGTGACCAAGTTTTTGTGAGGACATGTGTTTCCAGTTTTCTTGGTTATATGCCTAGGAGAAGTGAAATTGCTAGGCCATATGACGATTCTATGTGTAATTGTTTGAGCAGCCACCAGCCTGGTTTCCAAAGTAGCTGCACCATTTTCATTCCCACCAGTAGCACATAAGGATTCTAATTTCTCCACATCCTCACCAACACTTGTTACATGACTTTTTGATTCTAGCCATCTTTATGGGAGAGAAGTGGTATCTCTTTATGGTTAAAATTACACTTTTTTTTTTGTTACTTAAAAGAAAACTATGGCCAGGAGAGGAGATATCATTTGGCCAGGAGTCCATTTCCAATAAGTGGCAGAATCTCTATTTGAACCCATGTCTGTTTGACTTCCAAATTCATGATCAAAAAAAATTGTTTTTTCCTTTTCATCTTTGGATGCACTAGAAGTTACTCCCTCAGATTCACTCCTGAAGTTAGCAGTAGAGGCCTCTCAGTAAAAGTTCCATAAAATTGCTTTACATTTAAAGCTTATCCTCCACATTTAAAATATGATTTGATTGTTCTACTTATAACTTTTTTTAACTGTCTCAAATATCCATTAATGGGTAATTTATTAAATACAATATGTTAAATTTAAACAATAGAATTCCATGGAGTAATGGAAAATGATGTATTGACATGAAAACAGATTTATAAAATACTTTTAACTGAAAATAGTTTGAATGGCTTATAAAACGGTTTGTATCATGTTATACATACACATATTTACATCTGTGTTTACATAAACCAGAGATCAACAATGGTTATCATCTTTGGGAGAGAGATATATTCATGATTTTCCTCTTTATCTTCTTTTTTTTCGCAGAATATTACAGGGGTACAAATGTTTTGGTCACATGGATTGCTTTTGTACTGCTTGAGTCAAAGTTGTAAGTGTGCCCATCACCCAGATAGTGTACATTTTCCTATTACGTATGATTTTACCCCTTCCCTTCTCTCCCCTCTTACCTGCAAGATTTTCATTGAGTTTTACTTGGCCTCTGTGCACATGTGTGCTGATTAGTTAGTTCCAATTTAATAGTGAGTACACGTGGTGTTTGTTTTTCCATTCTTGTGATACTTCACTTAAGAGGATGGTCTCCAGTTCCATCCAGATTGTTGCAAAAGGTATTAATTCATTTTTTTATGGCTCTATGGTGTGCATATACCATATTTTATTGATCCACTCATGTATTCATGGGCACTTGGGTTGATTCCACATCTTTGCGATTGTGAATTTTACTGCAATAAACATTCTAGTGCAAGTGTCCTTTTTATAAAATGACTTTTTTTTATTTGAGTAAATACCCAGTAGTGGGATTGCTAGATCAAATGGTAGTTCTACTTGTAGTTCTTTGAGGAATCTCCTTACTATTTTCCATAAAAGTTGTACTAGTTTGCAGTGTAAAAGTGTTCGTTCCTTTCTCTCTGCATCCATGTCAGCATCTACTGTTTTGGGACTTTTTGATAAAAGTCATTCTCACTAGGGTTAGGTGATATCTCATTGTGGTTTTGATTTGCATTTCTCCGATGATTAGTGACATTGAACATTTTTTCATTTGTTTATTGGCCATTACTCTATCTTCTTTTAAAAAGACTTCTGTTCATGTCTTTTGCCCACTTTTTTATGGGGTTGTTTTATTTTTTTCTTGCTGATTTGCTCGGGCCAGGGATTCTATAGTGTTTTAGGGCCAGTTTGAAATGTATGAATGGTTTAGCCTCATACTTTAATGAATTAGACTCTCTTCTGGTGGAGTCTGAACACGTGTGTTTTTATAAAGCATTAAGCGTGTTTTCATTGATTTAATTACAGTAATTTTCTAACCGTATGAAAATATCAAATTATGGAAGTGAAATTAGCTATCCTTTTAACAAATTATACTTCAAGACTTGAAAAAACTATTGAAATATTTCATAAATCAATTTTACATTCAAAAGAATGTATCTTAAGACTATAAAATTTCATTTTGTGTGCTTCTATTATAAGCATAATTACAAGGAACATGGATGCTGTACAATCGTGGTTTATGGCAACCTGGTCTTTTGTATCTATTGTAAACAGAGAGGAGAACCAGGAAGTGAGCCAAAAAAAACTTCTAAAACCATCCCCAAGATATGGGTCTTCAAGTACATACACACAACAGAGAGGTAACCTCTCAGAAATCTATTTCTTTACAAAACTTGATGATCTGATTTTCATTAAAAGCAGAGGATACCAAGAGATAACTCTATTTAATGTGTTTTTCTTCTTGTCACCTTTTGCTTTCAGCTACCATTTTTTACTGTTACCAGCTTGGCATCCCTCACCCCTCTTCTGATTAGCTCAAGTCCCTGATATAAAATGCCGTAGTATTTGTATATAACCTACACACACCCTCCCATACACTCTGTCATCTCTAGATTACGTGTAATACCTGATACAATGTACATGCTGTGGACATAGTTATACTGTATTTTTAAAATTATGTATTATTTTTTATTGTATTGCTTTTATTTTTTTTTTCTGAATATTTTCAATACATGGTTGTTTGGATCCAGGAATGTGTAGGGCTGACTGTACTATGGAAAGGACTAAGCCACCTAGTTGTAGGGCCAAACATCCCTACCTAGCCCCAGAACTCATTCATATATGAAAGTGTATTGTAGGATGTCATGATGGTAGGAGCAGGGGAGATCATCTCTCTGAATTACACATACCATTGCTATAGCATCTCTTTTGATAATATTCCCATAAAAAATAATTTCATTCAAAAATCATCACTTTACCTTGCAGTGCTAAGGACTGGTGATGGTGTATTTCCTGGTCACTTTCTCTTCCCCTCCCTTCTGTCCAATGCGCTTAGACATTGTCATCTAATTTTTACAGCTCTTAGGCTTACCCTGGTTTTATAGATTAGGTAGCCAAACCACTGAGAAGTTAGGAAACTGGCTCAGAGTTGTAAAGCTAGTGAGAAACAGACTCTGGGTCCAGCACTGAGATCTGTAACTCCTGGTACCACAGCCCTGATGCTACTTGAGTTCTCAGGAGGGGGCTTCATTATACCACCCACTTTAAGAGAACAGAAAAGTATGTACTACACTTAGAAATAGTTCCATCGAAATAGTTCCATTTTTTTCACACTGGTTTTTTTATAGGGTAAGTCCTCCTTTCTCTAGAAAAATGACCTATCCTGGATTATTCATTCCCTGAAACTTCAAGAAGCAAAGTTACATTGTTGTTATTCTTTGTTTTAGTTTTGTTGTTTGTTCATAAGAATTTTTTTGAATTTAGGCAATTTTCAATTATTCTGTCTAAGAATTTTTTGGTCTCCTGCTCTGAGGTGATTTTTGTTGAGTGGTCTGTAAGTCGAAGTTATGAAGATGCCTCTTCTAATGAACCATAATATAGATAATTGTAAAGAAATTATCAAAAAACCCGGATAAGCTTTGAAAAATATTGATTTACTTAATAGCTAAGAGTTATAGCACTGTTTATTTTATAATTGCTACTTTCTATGTATTATGTATGTTTTTGTTTAAATAAAACAGTGTTTTGAGATGGTAGAACAGATACCACTATTATTTTATTGGAGAGTTAATGAAAAATTAGCACCACATGTACTCACCATCAAATCATACTAATTCATCAACATTTGTGTTCACATATAGAAGCAACATTCATCAGGTGTCTGGCAGGTGGGAGGGGGAGGAGGGGATGGGTATATTCACACCTGATGGGTGTGGTGCGCTCTGTCCGGGGGATGGACACGCTTGTAGCTCTGACTTTAGCTGTGTGAAGGCAATATATGTGAACCTTAATGTTTTCACCTGTTACTGTTCAGCAATATGGTGAAAACCTTAGTAACACATCTCCTGAAATATAAAAGGAGAAGCAGGAAGATAAACAATTTCGAAAAACTCTCTGAAAACAGTGAATCGACATGATTCCATCTCAGTCCTGTGGTGTGTGGCATGAGATTTCTGTGGCGCTGGGCTCTTCAGGGTCCTACCAATCCTCGAGAGGTTTTATTTAAGTGTGGGGGAAGGAGATAGAAGGAGAGACAGGAAAACGACCACATTGCACTTAAAGTGTGGCCTGGTTCTGGACTCAGGTTAATTCAGTTATGTATTACTCTGAAGCTTTCCTCTTCATTAGGCAGTTTTAATTCCTATAATGAATCCACACTTGATTTCTGGGACGGAGTGGATTTGCATGTGTCTGCGTTGGTAATGGGAAGAGCCCACCTTTGACCTTGGCATGTCAGCACTGTGGCCTTGAGTGGAAGAGAGGTTCCCACTGGGAGCTGGACGAAGGTGCTGATGTGTTCATCCCACCAGCTGTGTCGGAAGGACAGGGCACCGTGTCGTCCACTGAACATTGTGAACACCTTGCTTTCTAGCTATGGAGTGCTGCTGTGGGAGCTGCTCACGGGAGAAGTCCCCTATCGGGGCATTGATGGCCTTGCTGTGGCTTACGGGGTAGCAGTCAATAAGCTCACTTTGCCAATTCCATCCACCTGCCCTGAGCCATTCGCCAAGCTCATGAAAGGTATCTGTGCAGCCTTTGTTTTTGTGTGTCTGGGGTGGGGGGCAAGGAGACTCGCTTGTTAGAACATCCTCATTTTTTTAACCAAAAAAGCAGTTTCTGTGATTCTAATTTTCAGTTACTTCTAAGTAACCATATAATTTTAAGAATTAGAAACCTAGTCTCTGATCTAAAATGTCAGATAAAGTTTTAATGAGCTAAGTAATAGAAAAACAATCTAGTTTTATCAGTGACTCATTTTTGTTTGAAACTCAACTGAGTGGTAATAAAGTTTCCACCGAGTACACTATTAGAGTTCAGACGCAGTATTGCATTGGCTCCAAATATGCTGTTTTAAATGTGACTTGATCAAAAATGCTTTACAGTCCTAACCAGCATGTCATGACCTTGTCTATTTGATCTTTATCTTTTAAAAATTGTTAACTAAGCCAGGTGTGGTGGCTCACACCTGTAATCCTAGCACTTTGGGAGGCCGAGGTGGGAGGATCACTTGAGGCCAGGAGTTTAAGACCAGCCTGAGCAACAATGAGATTCCATCTCTACAAAAAATGGGAAAATTAGCCAGTCCTGATGGCATGTACCTGCAGTCCCAGCTACTCGGGAGGCTGAGGCAGAAGAATTGCTTGAGCCCAGGAATTTGAGGTTGCAGTGAGCTATGATGATGCCACTGCACTCCAGCCTGGGCAACAGAGCATGACCCTATCTCAAAAAAAAAAAAGAGTTAACTAACTCTTCTTATAAGCAGCAAGTCACCTTACTTCATTATTAGACTATTTCTTAGAACTTTTCTTGTGATTGTAACATTTTAGAGATGTTGGTTTTCTTGCGTTGACTCTTTATCAGTGAATCATCTGGTCATGGTGGCTTAGGCCCCTGAAACACAGAGTTCATGGTAATGGATGGGAAACACACATCCGTCTATTAAATGTGGTATAATATAGACAATAGTAGCCTTATCTTATAGTAATTATTATGCATGCCTCTGGCATGGACACTGTAAAATAAATTATTCAAAATATTATCAATAGATTCTTAAAATATTCAGGAGCAGACACCAAACACATAGGCTTCTGGTTCAGAATGACAAATGTTAAGTTGAAATACATTTCAGTGTAAAACATTTCTTTGACATTCTGATGTCTTGGAGATAATCTGAGCCAGGCTGAGAGGTGGGATTAATGTGATTCTCGCTTATTTTAGAATGCTGGGAACAAGACCCTCACATTCGTCCATCGTTTGCCTTAATTCTCGAACAGCTGACTGCTATCGAAGGAGCAGTGATGACGGAAATGCCTCAAGAGTCTTTTCATTCCATGCAAGATGACTGGAAACTGGAAATTCAACAAATGTTTGATGAGTTAAGAACAAAGGAAAAGGTGAGAGAGAGATTTTTAATTGTGTAATAGACACCATTTATGAAGATTGGGGAAGTACGAGCCAAAGTACTATTGGCAGGATTATAAAATATTTTCAGGTATCAGTATTTTTTGATTCTTGCTTTCCTTCAGGTTAAAAACAAAACAAAAGCAAAACAGATGTATACTCAAAATGTATAATTGGAGGAAAAACCTTTTATTGGGGGAATTTTCAAATGTAAAAAAAGGAGAGAGAATAACATAATAAACCCACTGTATGCATTAACCCGCTTCAATAATTCTTATAATTTTATCTTTTTTTGGTCCCTTTTCCCCATTTATCATTTTTTAACTGGAATATTTTAAATCATATTCTAGATTCATATCATTTTACCCATAAATGATTCAATATACATCTCTAATTGGTAAGAATTTTTAAAAACAACTTTCTTACTATTATTACTTTAGCTGTGTGAAGGCAATATATGTGAACCTTAGTAACACATCTCCTGAAATATAAAAGGAGAAGCAGGAAGATAAACAATTTCGAAAAACTCTCTGAAAACAGTGAAT